GAGCTTTTGGCAAATCTGTCTAGGCAATCCATAATGATACGCAACTGGTCTCCTGAAGCTTGCGCAAAAAGCATTAAATCATCAGCATAAAAAAGATGAGAAAGGGCAATACCCCCACGAGACAACTTATAAGGTTTCCAGTCCTTGGTAAATACTCTTCCCTGGATCATGTGGGCTAGCTTCTCCATCACTAGAATAAAAAGATACGGTGATAATGGGTCTCCTTGTCTTAGCCCCCTCATGGGACGAAATGAAGGTAGTGGTTCACCATTCCACAGAATCTCCAGCTGGACAGAGGTCACGGCGAACATGATAAGATTAATAAGCTGTTGAGGAACGTTGAAGTCAGTAAGAACCTGTCTTAAGAATCCCCAATCAATACTGTCAAAAGCCTTATGTAGATCAATTTTAAGTACCATGGCACCTCTCCTACCCTTCAACCGTTTCATGGAATGAACTGCTTCTTGGGTCAAGATAATATTGTCAACTGTACTTCTGCCAGCTAAAAAGCTACTCTGGTGGGGACCAACGATCTTCTGAAGATGAGGGCAGAGCCTATTGACGATCAATTTTGATAGCACCTTATATGCAACATTCAAAAGGCTTATAGGCCTAAACTTTTGAATGACATCTGGCGAGTCTTCTTTGGGGATCAATGCCACATATGCTCTGGTTAGAACTGGATCAAAACATCCCTCCAATAGAGCTTGGTTCACAAAATCTAGGAAGGTTCTAGACACCGTATCCCAGTGCTGTTGGTAGAAAAGTGCCTGTATACCATCTGGTCCTGGGCTTTTCAATCCTTTCATCGAAAATAGAGCAGCTCGAACTTCCTCTAATGTGGCTGGCTGTATCAATAACGAATGCTGCTCTATAGGTATAGTATGCTGAAAAGCAAAGAGATCTTCCGAGGAGGGGGCTGTGTCCTTGCTAATGAACAACTCCATGGAGAAATTTCTTACATGAGATTTTAGAGCGTCAGGGTCCATGTTCCATTCTCCTCCTATCTTTAGCGCCCCAATTTTGTTCTTGCTACGTCTCACCATGGTAGATAAGTGATAAAAAGAAGTATTCCTATCACCAGATGCAATCCAATCCACCCTCGATTTTTGGAACCAAAGCAATTCCTCTTCATATAGAATTTGTTGATATTCATCAAGAAGCTCTTGCTCCAAAGCTTGTAACTGCGAAGAAGAATAATAACGAGGAGAGTTCTGAATTCCTGTAATCCTAGCTCGCAACAGTCGCTTCTTCTTGAAAATGTTTCCAAAAACAGACTTGCCCCACGAGTTACAAGCCTCTTTGGTGTGGTGAATGGCCACTGGTAGCTGGCTAGCATGTTGACTCCAGGCCTCGTGAAAAACTGATCGGAACTCATCTCTTGATAACCAAGCCGCCTCAAAGCGTAAAGGTTTGTTAACAGGGATTTGGGAAGCTGCTGTGTCCAAATCAAGTAGTATAGGATGATGGTCACTATGAATACGCGGCAGAGTAAAAACTTTGGCCCCCTGCAAGAGGATTTGTGCACCTGAGTTAAAGAGCACACGGTCTAACCTCTCACGTAAAACCACTCTCCCATTCCTGAGTCTGCACCAAGTAAATTTGCACCCTAATGATTCCATGTTCATTAAACCACAGCTTTCTAACCAGCACCTGAAACGCTGTGTTCTATGGAAAACTGAGGTGGTACGGGGAGAGATTTCATCCATAGAAAGTATATCATTTAGGTCACCCATGAGAACCCATGCACCAGAATGTTCCCTACTCCATTCTTGCAACTAATTCCAGAATTCCTCTTTATATTGGCACTGTGGCCTGACATATCCAAAGGTCAAGAAGACATTATCATTATGATAAGATACAGCACAATGTATAGCCTGACTAGTAGAGAAAAGTATTGAAAGTTTTGCTGAAGAGTTCCAGAATAACCACAATCCCCCAGCAAAACCAGCTGCGGGCACTTGAAAGTGCATATCATACCCGCGACGGCGCATAAAATTCAACTTGGTTGAGCCAAAGGCTGCTTTAGTCTCCATGAAACATAAAATATCTGGTTTATGACTACAGAGTAGCTCCTTTACTTCCCTTCTAAAGGGGCTGTTATTGACCCCCCTACAATTCCATGACATTATCTTCATAAGGGAGATGGGGGCAGCGAACATGTAGTGGAAAGAACCACCTGAGGAACACCATCATTGGAGGTAACAGCTGGTGTAGTATCAGTCACCAGCACATTATCATCAGTCCCACCATTACCTATTATGTTTCCCGGCCCATGTTCTGTTGCTTCACCAGTGAAAGTGGGCAATGGGATCACCTCAGTATTAGGCAAATCTGAGTTGGGATTAACTGGAGTTAGTCTTGGAGTGGCTTGCGGGGAGGAACCCTTTATAACAAGAGGTGAGGCTGCAACTGTTACATTCACCAACCGGCTGCTATTATTTTTTATGGACTCCCGTATCCTATTTGAGTCCAAAAACTTGGACCCTGTGGACTTAGGGGGTTTAGAAACCGGGCCTAACACGTCCTTGGATTTCTCCTTCTTACGAGCCCACTTAGATTGGACTTTAGAGCTCTCAGGTGCAGACCCTAACCTCTGTGATTGCGTCGATAAATACGGAGCCACTTCCATATCAAAATGTTCTGGTGCAGTTTCCTTATCCACTGAAATACTTGCCGAGTTCACCTCCACAATACTTGGGATTCGTCCCGAGGAATCATCCTCCACAGCAATTGCTGCAAATCTGTTACTATTATTATTCCGCACGGAATTAGGCGTTAACTGGCTAATTGATTTTGCATGATTCCCACGCCTATCACTATCCACTAGATGTGTCCCACCCGGGCTAGAGGTAGGATCAGAAGAGGATCTTTGCTTCACAACCTTCCGTGGTTTCCGTTTAGCTACCATCCAAGACCCATAAGTCATGCAATTATCCGATAAATCCGGGATGTGGCTGTGCTCCGCCAGGTGTTGCATACTGAGGTTTTCATGGATGATCGCCGTGCCTCCTGTAGGTGCTGGCGGTGGCAGAGGATGCCTGTAATGGCAATTATCCTTTTTATGGCCAAACTCTCCACACTCAAAACAAATTTTGTGCAGCCCTTCATACTCCACCAAAATCAACGATTGAGGAAGCTCCTCAAGATCTAAAGCTATCATAGATGGAAGAGATTCATTTAAATCAACCTCCACACAAACCCGTGCAAATTCACCCCTCGTGGCTAGGAGTGTTGTTCTATCCACCTTAATGGCTCTGCCAAGTTTATTCCCAAGATAAAGGATAGCTGCTTCATGATAGTACTCCATTGGGACTTCATAAAGTTTGACCCATATTGCTGTTTTGGGCAACTTTGCCCTGGACGGCTGGAAGTTGGGTTCCCATGGCTGAACAGCCAAATAATGGTCAAAAAATTTGTAAGGGCCACCAATTAAGACCCTGGAACAATCCTCTGGAGAGGAAAACTTAACAACATAGAAGCCTTTGCCAATATCAATTACCTCAAACTCATCTTCCGTTCTCCATTCACGCACCAGCCTGTTGCACAGAAGATGATAATTAACTCGTTTCCCCAATAGATTAACAATCAAGGAATTCTTCCATGGAGCACAAAGTTTTTGCCAAATTGCTTTTGGGATGTAGGCCTTAGGAATAGATTTTTTTGGGACTCCAGCAACATCATTGGCCATCATTGGGGCCTGCGCTTGTACTTTATCACCTGCAGCCATGAGCTCCTCGACCGTGATCATGGAAGGGATTGGGTCTGCACCGCCATCAATGAGCATATCCTTGAAACTTTTCTGATTTGGGGGGACAACTCCTGGTATTGGGGGTTCGGAACTCAGCGTAGAAGGACGATCATCCTTGATTCTCTTGATGCTACGCTCCAAAGAATCACTTTCTTCCGCCGATGGGGGAGGGTCAGGAGAACTCTCGCTAGCCATCACTTAAAATTCTTAAGATATATTTACAAAAAAAGCTTTTTAGGCTTGGTATATGCTCATATTTGAGTCTAAATCTGAATTATGAGTCCATTTTGTGGGATTTAGGTTCATGTAGATTTCGGTTTCCTGTTTGGGTTTTCACATAAGATATTCAACTCGCTCTGTCTCTGATCTTCCACTGCTCTTCAACTCACATTAAGTAGATCGTCCCGCCTCCCAATTTCTATTTCTATAAGCAAATTTCTTTCTTTTCTTTACTTTTCTTTTTTTTTTTTTTTTTTTTTTGTGGCCAACTATATGCAAATTTCATTTTTTTTTTTATGGATTTCAACTTCAAAATTTTCCCAATTCTGCATTGTTTTCTACCGTTGCTGGATTTGAATGTGTGGACATGGAGACTTTTGGTTCTCCCTATGTATTTATTTTTGGGAAATAGCACATGATTATTCGAAAACTAAGTACTTAAAACTCAAGAATTTCTATAAATTTACCTATTATGAAAAGAAAAAAGTGTCTGTTAACCTTACCTCCTAAAAATTAAGAGGAAAATCTTCTTAAAACTGTCGTTTCAATAAATTTTTATTAAAAAAGATTAAACTACTATATTTTTAAAGCATGCATTAATGTGATTTTTATCATTTTTTCTCTTAATTTTTTAGAAATAAGACGGACAAGCACTAACCCCTTATAAAAATACTGATCTTTTTAATTTTTTATGAGTTAATTGATTGCCTTGTTCCTGTTTTTGTTATTAAGTAATTTCATTTTTGTTTTTGCAAGTTAATTTGCTTGAATTGCAGGATTCGGTTAATCATATATTGTTTTTATGGTTAAAAATTGCGCATGGGGTTGTTAAATTGCAATAAGGAAGCTGGAAGTGGGAATTTAAATGGAGGAAGGAATAGGATTTGTTGAACTCTTAAATGGATGGCATCCAAGGAGGGATGTGGTAGATACAAGCCGTAGAGGATTTAGATCATGTCCTTAATTGTGATTTAGCAAGTAGAATATGGATGAGATGCTTTGGGAGTGCTTGAAAACTTGCTGTGCCGCTTAAGTCTATCTTGGAATCAAATGAAATGGATAAGCGAGAGGACATGATCGATCTTCATAAGATGTGTTGATGTGGTGTGAGATCGTACAACAGAACAGAAGAATCAAAGGCAATAGCACATCATGATGCATAAAATTGGTAAGACCACATTGACATGGTTCCTTGTTTCATACGTTAAATATTTACTTTAAATTTTTTGAATTTAATATTCTGTAATTAAACTATTGATAACAACTAATGGTTAAAATCACTTTAAAAAGTATATTAATCATATAAGTAATATACTACTAAGTAGAGTATCGATTCCTGAAGAATTATTAGTTAAGGAAGTACTAAAAGATTAACCCTAGAATTATTTAAATAATTCAAAAGATAGAAATTTTAATTAAGAATAATCTAGAAGAATAA